CAGAAGAAGCTCCAACCCACAAGAAGAAGTACGTAATGAAGGTGATGATTCTCTTTGCGCAGTGATATCGACTGCGGTTTTGATTTGAATGACCTAATGATGTAGATGGGTACTCCATCATTCGTGGAACAGAAAGAGTAACTATTACCAAGGYGGACAAAGCGACCAACAAAATTTTGATTCGCTAGATAATACTTTCCTCCGAGCAAGTTGCATATAGTACAGAGATGTGGTCGAACCGAGAGTTCAAACTTCGACTAGGAGCGAGATCACTTGTTGATCTGCATGGTAGCAATGCAGAAGTCATTTCTGACAGGGTTTAATAGGTGTCGACAGACCCAACCGTAAGTTAAAGGTTAGGTTGTCTTTCCTAATCTTTCGTTGATATTGAGCCTCCGCCTTGGAAGTGGCGGAATAATAGTATCTTCAGTCATATAGGCCGGGAAGATTAACTTTGGCATATCATCCCATCAAGTCTAAACCATATCTTGTGCGATTTGATAAGAGTGTATTGATTTATTCTGTAATCAAAGAATTATAGAGGGACTAGGATTATATTGTGGGTTTCACGTTTCATCGAGACCGTCCTAGTCGACCGACGTTCGTTCGTACCTAGGAGATCAGCGCCCTAGGGGACGGACAACGTTCGAGTCCACTTGGCATTAACCAAGCGTACCTATACTCCAGCGAGCGAGCAAACGCCCTCGGATGACCTACCTCTGCAATTGCATATAAAAGTTTTCGCACGTGGGTCAGTAGTTCGGTAGGGATACGCCCCTGAGGGTGGTGACAGCCCCTTAGGGAAGGTAAGATGTGGCCCACGAAAACCTATCCTGTCGTCGGGGACCGTGGGATGTACAGTTGGCGCACCCGGCTAGAGCTGTGAAGGGACGATGCAACCGCGTCCGTCTCGGCGGTTCGCGGGATTATTTATCATCGTCCTAAGTTGTCTCTGGTTTTGTTTTTGTTTTAACTCCTGCGTGACATAGCTAAGAGGGCTCCCGTGCTTTGCAAAAAAGGCGGGGGCCGATGCGTTCGACACCGACTTGATATGAGTCGGCTGAAGGGCCACGAGGCCCTGAGCCAGAGACTGGGTTGCGTGAGCCAGAAAAGCCACAGGTTGAGGAGATTATTACCGTTGGGGACGATACTCCTCCTCATACCCCGGTCTCGACGCAGGTACAGCAGCCGTGGCCAGAGGGGATACTCGAGCTAGAAAGTGAAGAGACTCCAGTACCCCTTCCGGAGACTATCACTTCGCCCCCGAGGATGGTAGAGGACGAGGGAGTGGGGGCGTGTACGACCGTCGACTCCCGGTTAGCCGAACATGCGGCCGAGCACCCGAATATTGAGATACCTGCATCGAATAAGCCATCGTCAGGCTTGCCGCATGTAGGTGGAGGAGTGAGTGTTGAGGCTCCGGCGCGAGAGACCCACGAGGCGCGGGCGAGGAGATCATCAGGGGAAACGGCTGAGGAGAAGTCTGCCAGGGTGCAAGCTCGCCTCACAGAGATATATGAGACAAAGGTCAGGATGGAGGCCGTAGGAGTGGCGCCAGCGCCGCCGATCGATCCCAGGACGAGTGAGCAGAGGATCGATGAGATGTGGGCTAGGTACGAGAGCAAGAGGGATGCCGCCCGCCTGAGGTCGCGAGAGACAGGACAGGAATACGAGAGGGCGGACGAGATGAGAGAGACTGGAGACGTCGGATTTTCGACCGCCAGGATGGCGATCGAGCGAGTGGAGAGAAGGATACGCCAGGCAGCGACCACGTCATTCCATCGATATACCCTGCTCAGTGATGAGCGGGTGGTTGCAAGGTTGGAGGTGGAGCAATTGTCTACTCAGCTAGCGGAGGAGAAGGCGGAGAATCAAGAATGGAGGACTCGTATAGAAGCTAAGGAAGTTGAGTGGGAAAAAAAGCTCAAAGATATGGTGGCAGCGGTAGAGAGGCTTTCAGCCACCAAGGTGGTCGATTGGACAGAGCAGAGCAGGTATGGTATTCAGGGTGAGAGGATGCACGGACTCCTTGGTCAGGGAGGAACGGTAGAGCCCCCTCAACAGAAGAAAATAAAGAAGGTGTTCCTGGATCCAGCAGAAGCGGAGGCGAAGAGGATAACCGAAGGGAAGAGTTTTAGTTTCAAGGCCCCCACATGGTTAGCCACGCAGCAGGCGACCCCTATGTCGGTTGAGGCCCCTGCGGGGGAGCCAACTCAGAGGCCCCAATCTCCACCTGCAGAAGAGGGTTCCGCAAAAGAGTTTCATACAATCCTTTTGGAGGTACGGGGAGGTACCCTTACGGGGGCAGTAGCGCCCACTGAGCCTGAGACGGTGGAGGAGGAAACATCTCGCCTGGATGAGCTAGTAACAGCCATGGAAATAGACATGCCGCTGGACAGACCTCAGAGGCTGGATACGCTTGAGTATAGGCCAGAGAGCGTAGGCGCGCAGAGTAGTGAGGGCGCCAGGGTCGCGGAGTCTGAACCTCAGGGTTGCATGGGATTGCCATTATGTTGCGAGGGGGCCGCTGAGGCTGAGGGGACACCATCGATTTCAAACCCCTAGGGGAAGAGGAAACCCAAAAAGTGGTTTGACTCGTCATGTTTTTTTTGCAAGGAGGAAGGGCATCGGGCTCTGCAGTGCACGGGGTTTCTCAAAGACAAAGCAGCAGGGCGAGGACCTGGGTTTCGAAAGTTGAGTTGGGCTTCGGTAGCCGGTCTAACATATCTTCAGTTTGCAGGCATTTGGGAGGCGAGATAGTCAGGCTGATCGAGCATGAGGGGGTGGGCGCCCGCTATTCCGTGCGTTTCAGAACGCTGTCATATCCGCAGATGCGAGTACAGGCGCTGGGCGCCATGGCCATCTTACGGAAGCCCATATCCGAGCTGTGACTGAAGGTGCCATACAGTTCAACATCGAGTTGTGAGGGTCGGGCGCCGTAGCCACCTGAATTGAGTTATAATCGGTCTGTATTTCTATCATCCACATCTCTGAGTGGTGTTGGGGGCTGGTCGCTGGTTGGATGCATCTCCCATTTGTAAACATGAGAAGCGAGGGAGTGCGCAAGTTGGATTGCACTGGTATCGGAGCTGGTACCCACTACCCCACGCGCCGTAGGGCGCCGGAGTGGGGGAGCGCCGTCGTGAAAGAAGCCTGCCTTAGCTGCGCTGTGGAGAGTGTGTATCTGCGCACTGTACGACGAACGAGAGAGAGAATGTATGAGAGAGAGGAAAGAATACACTTACCTCGCTGACTGCAGCCGTAGAGGGCGTGGTGTCGGGGTACAGCGTGTCTGGCCGCTTCCTAACAGGGGAGTTACTCGCCTTGCACGATTGGAGGATGGTAGGAGCCGACGGTCTGCGAGGCTCGATGGTGGTGTGAGTGATCATGTGGCACGTTGCTCCGAGATGGGTGTGTGAACGCCCTCGTCTGTGCTCCACCGCTGCCCTATTGTTTCGTTTGTTTCGTGTGAGAGTCTTGGCTCGTTGGTGTGCCCGATAGTTGGTGTAAGGGTATGCGGTCGTTCCGTCAACCCAGGTGGTGAGCGCACGTACCTAGTGTTGACAATGACCTGAAGGAGCCAACGCTCTCGTTCGCTGGGGATCTGCACGCCGAGGTGTACGTGCTGGGAGGAAGCAGCGAAGTGGCAGTGTCCCGCAATAAAAAGGGGGGGGCAGCGGCTCTGATTGCGCTGGAATCTGAGCTGGCCGGCCGCTATCCCAAGTGTCGTTGGGTGCTGTTACATCCGCGGAGGCTGAGTTTAGGCACCGGGGGCCAGGATTACCTAACATGGAGTTGTGCTCGAGTTGTGCCCCGGGCAGCCATACCGACGAGCTTTGAGTTTGGACTCTGTGCTTCGGGACCGCCCTACCTCAAACTATGGGGGTAGGCTGTTAGGTGCTGTCGTTACGGGGCGCGAACCTGAACTTGGACTGTCTTCAAAGTTGTCAAGTCTTCGAACTGGGGGTCTGGGCGCCGAGGTGGAGAGGCACCTTAACTGAGGGGAATTTGTTATAGTTGTACTACGAAGGAGGTGGTCTGTACCTACGCACAAAGCAACGACAGAAGGTGAGGAGTGAGTGGGGGTGGCGGTGATTTGCAGAGTTAGCGGTCTGTCAACTGGGGGGGGACTGTAGAGTTATCAGTCTCCAGAACTAGTGTCAGCAGGTGCGGCTGGTGTAGCCGTTACTTCAACTGTTGCTTCCGGTGCTACTGCCGCTGCTGCTGCTGGGATTGCCGTTGCCGCTACTACTATTGCTGTTGCGGTTGGGGCTAGCTTTCTAGAGGGCAGCGGCGTGGCTGATGCGGGACTTGCTGAGGACAGAGTTGTGGTGCGAAGAGAGGGGAGTGCTGGGAACTGAGAGATTATCAAGCCAGCTGAATCAGCAGTTGACAGAAAGTGGTCCAAGCAGGTTACTTGGCCACCATTAAGGGGCCCTCAGGCGATTCAAGGCAACAAGGCCCTCTCCAGGGAGTTGAGTTTGTCCCCTCCTTGTATCTCGAGAGTCTCAAACCCCTCTTTCTGCCTTTCTAAATCTAAGTCTAATTGTTCAGAGAGGAAGGCGGCAGGCAAGATTGCAACCCGTAGGACCGCAGCAAGACTCTGTGGGGAGTGAGCCCGCCGATTGCGGGAGCTCTGCCGGAACTTAGGGAGAGTTCGGAGGCAGGGACCTGGGAGGTAACCATTGCTTCTCCTCTATAAACCCAATTATAGCCTCTATCTATATTCCTTTTTATACTTTGATTGAATATATTGCATGTCTTTTACTCTGACTTTATGCTTGACTTTCAAGACATAACCAGACTAAATAAAGGAATGTATACTTAATGTCAGTTTCGGTTAATTGTTTGATTGAAAAAAGATTGTGAGGTTGCATCTGGGAGAAGGATGGGAGGAAGGCAGTATTGCATGAGTTTTGACTGGGTCATTAAAGCTGGGAAGTCCCCATAAGTTTAGGGAGACTCGGTGCTGTGTTTATTTTGGATTGCTCGGAGCATCAGACCATTCCATAAGCTTAGGTGGTCTGGTGGCTCTGGTGGTTGAGAAGTCCCCGTAAGTTTGGGGAGACCCAGTGTCGGGAGATTCTACGATAGACAGGGTAAAGTAGTATAGCGGACTGCAGATGAGGGTAGGGCTCGGTTATATAGGCAGAACCAGCAGAAGATGAATTAGTAGGGACTGGGTTGTCTATAGGCCAGCAGGACTCTTATGCATTGAAGGTAGGATGAACATGTACGTATTGTGGGTTAAACATGTATGTCCTGTCTACTCGTACATATGTAGGTTGTGGCATTTGAGATTTTTTTTTTTTGATTCTTGCCATGACTTAGGAGATAGGATTAGTTGTGTGATATGTATGAGTATTTAGTCATGCTCTAGTCTTAGTGTTTGCGTTATTTACGTTTTTTTTGTTGTTGAGTGTGGTTCGAAGGTTCACAATATTTAGGACATGAGTTTTACTCAGCAGAGCGGGGCAGTGGGCTGCGTATCTATGTTGTTTTAAGAGAGACATTTCATTTTCCTGAGTGTATTTTGAGTCGAGACCTTATGAGACTTATTCTTGTGGCGATCACTACCAGTCTCGCATGTGTGGCTTTATCCTGTTGTACAATGGATTTGTGTGAGAGATGTGTAGGATACATCTCATGTGCTTTGTATTGTGCAAATGTGATTGTTGTCTACTCTTCGGTATACTCGTGCGATCTGCCTACGGGCGAGTGATGGGGTCGAGTATAAAGAGAGGTAGTACAGTTTGTCTTGTGACAGAAGTGTAAGAATCCTAAGGGATTTTGCGAGTCTATGAGACTCGAATGCTTACCATGCCGAGTGTTTTATGGTTGAGCTGTGAAGAGGACCAGATAAGTTGGTCTCTCAGTTTGAGTTGTTTTATGGTTGAGACCCGTCCAGATTCAGGAAGGTGGTAATGTTGTTTATTGGAAGACTCATCTTTAAAAAGGGCGGTGTTTTAACGGGTCACGTAATAGTTCATCCTGGAAAGAGAGGGATGGCTGGGAGACCCATTAAGAAAAACTTCCTTCGTGTGAAAGGTGGTTAATAGATTTAAGGGCATGGTAAGCAAAATTTGAGTTGATAAAGTCTAACGAGAAGGACCAGAAAGACTGTTTTGGATGAAATGGAATTGCATGGAGAGTCGGACCGTTCTATAAGTTTAGGTGGTCTGGTTGCTCTGACTTGTGAAGGTTAACTGCGATCGACTTTTCAGGAGCCAAACACATTTTGTAAGTTCAGGTGGCTTGGTTGCCTTGTTTACTTGGGCGTTCTTTGTTTTTTTTGGTTCTGAACGAGGAGGTCTGAGCCATTCTATAAGTTTAAGTGGCTCGGCCTCTTCCTGCTTTTATTCTGAGGGAGTAACTTGGAAGGGAGTCAGGCTATTCCATAAGTTTGGATGACTTCGACTTCATGCCACGCACAGATTGGATCAGAGATAAACGAATCCGGCGGAGGACCGGACATGTCCCATAAGTTTGGGTGGTCTGACCCAATGCCTCGCACATGTTGGAACCCGAAGACTATAATTTCGTTATACTCTACTACTATTTTTATCTATGAACATGCTAGTCAGGCAGGGTCCCATAAGTTTGGGTGACCTGACCATAGCCCTATCACGAACTGAAGAGAGTACGAACTAAGAATAAACTGATGGTAAGAAGGGGCAAGCTGGACCTTGAACTAAGTTGATCGATTCAGTCATATGTTGCCTTATAAGACTAAGTCTAGATAATTATATAAAGTTGGGATATTTAAGCAGCTTAGGGCGACTAGGGTGGTCTACTCATGTGCCTAAAAGAAGAGATAAGTAGTTGTGTCCTTTGTTTGTGTATATCTTGGTTAAGTTAGGCATGTCCCATAAGTTTGGGTGACCTGACTTTATGCCTTATGTAAGATGGGTATAAAGGGGCAGATCATTGAAAGACTACGAGGTATTGTTTGATAAGGTCAACTTGGGATGGTGAAACTACTTACCTTTGTGGTTTGGCCTGCCTGTGGCTGCCTCTACTAAGTCTGAGTTTCAGTTTGACAGGTATTTGCTTTAGTTGCTTGCCACGTGATAGAGCGATAGGAGTTAGTTCAATTTCGACATTTTCTGCGCTAACTTTATTTTACTTAGATCAATTTCTCATATTTTTCTGGGATCCTTTGTTATACTTGGCTTTGTATAAATTTTGATAAGCTACTTTCTCTACGGGAAGCACTGCCGAAATTTTTGCAGATCCAAGGAGTTAGTCAAATTTTAACTTTTCAAACTTCAATTTGTGTAAATTGTATATATGGCTTAGTATAAATCTAGGAAGCCTCCATTTGTAAAGGGAGTGCTGCCCAAATTTTTGCTAATTCAGGGACTTAGACAAAAATTGGACTTTGTAAAGTTGAAGACTATTCCTGTTTTCATATTTGGGCTAATATAAATTATGAAAAGACACTTTTTCTACGAGAAGCGCTGCCGAAATTTTCTTAGTTTAAAGGAGTCAGATTATATTTTGATAGGTAGTGATTTTGACAACCAACCCTTAATAGGGGAGGTTTTGCCATGAGTCTACCCATGCTTGAGCACGGGCATGGACCTATATTTAATTGCAGGTGAATTTATGTGGGAAAGTGCTATGAAGATTCACTCCCCATACACCGATG